GGGGGGGGGGGGTCAAAGTCCTCTGAAAACTACAGTGCTTATGATAACTCTCCAAAATACTGGCCATACTTAACATTAATCATTAACACCCTCAGCAGAGTCTGTCTACTAGATAAAAATGTGCCTCCTATTAGTCATAAGGAAGTTGGGACCTAATAAATATTTACGGATGCAGTCATCTGACAGCCTGGAACATCAGGGGCTGTAAATTCTTGACTTATGTATGAACAAGAGCCAACAGGACTTGTTACCTAGTCCTCAGGGGTAACTCAGAAAACTGAGCTGCTGTGAAATACTTCCCTGATTTCTCCTGTGATCATATTATAAGATATAAAAACCTACCAAGCCATAAAACTCAGTGTGACGGAGGAGCCATCAAATTCTCCTGGCCTTACATAAACATGTGGGAGTCATCACAGAAGAAATTTATCTACCCCTCAAATTAGTAGATTGGATGACTGAACCCCATAAAATAGTGCAAATGTCTTATATTTAGTTTAAATTTGAAATCTCAAAAACCTACAGACACTAGCCAAAAAATTGGTGGAATAACACATGGACAATATTTGGAGAATATTTCTCCAAAATATTCAAAATTATTTTAATCATTCTAATGAAATTTTAACTCTTTCACTGAAACATAAGTGGATCCAGTCCAGACATACGGAAGAATTGTGCTAAAGAAGAAAACTTGAAATATTATTGCATTTAATAACTGCACTTATATTCCTTTCTAGCTATAAAGCTAATTCTTCATTTAAATAATGCTTCTACACACCTTGATCCTGTGTCATGGTGTGTGAAACTCTTAGCTGAAACTAAATCACTACAAAATGTGTACAATTTAAACAGTGCAATTTTCCAGTGACTTGAATCAAACCCCTTCTCCTCCGTTAAGCAATAATTTTAAAAAAAATTAATCTTGTGAATACGCTTATACAGAATGTGTGTTTATAAAAAGTTCTTCACTACAGGTTTTAGCTGCGACATCTATTTACAGAGTAATTTACAGCTCTATAATAAGTAGTGAGATCTGCTTATGACATGCCCAGTCATTTTTGGTGAACACTCAGTGAGTGTTGGTTGGTGCACACACATACAATATTCTGTATACATACACATGGGGTATTATTCGGCTGAAGGAAATCCTGCCATTTGGAACAACACGGATGGACCTTGAGGGCATTATGCAAGTGAAATAAGCCAGACAGAGAGAGACAGACACTGTGTTGGTGCCACTTACATGCGGAATCTGAAAGAGGAGAAAAAGAAGTCATCACACTCACAGAAACAGAGAGTAGAAAAGTGGCTGCCAGGGGCCAGGGGTGGAGGAAATAGGGAAAGGTTGTTAAAAGAGGACACTTTCAGCTCTAAGATGAATACTGCCTGAGGATCAAACGTAAAACATGGTGACTATAATAGGTAACACTGTATAATTAAACTTTATTAAGAGAATAGAACTTAAATGTTCTCACCAAAAAGAAAAAAAAGAATAATGTTTTTTAAAAAAATTTTTCTAAAGCATCCTTTATCACCGCCCTGACTTACTTATTATGTAGCCACACCTGCCTTTTTAGGTACCTAAATTATTCATGGAGACTGCAAATATTCTTTGTGTATATCAGGATGAAAAAAAATTTGCCAAGGCAGGTGCAAGAGCTAAAAGAACATGCCTTCTTGTTTCCTTTCATGACCTCTGTTGAAAAAAAGAAATCACCCCTGAGAAAAGCCTCTAAGAAATGCCTCTAGTGGTAATTTCTGGAATGGAATTAAACAGATTGCTGTACAAAGGGGTGGGGGGAGCAAGGCAAGGTGGACTGTGGTGTCAGTCCTAACGTGAGATGTCAGCAGAGGAGGAGTTTCTTCCCTGTGAACACTATAAAAGGTTAGTTCATTCACCACAGAGGGACAGACTCTGCTCCACCCATCCTGAAGCTACAGGTGCTCCCTTCTAGAATCCTCAATGGATTTCACACGCAGAAGCTTGCAAAGAAGCCTGAGTTCCTCCTCACAGGCCTCTCTAGTCAGCATATATAGGAAAGGGGGCATGCAGCTCGTGGGGACTGCACCCAGCGTCTATGCGGGGGCTGGAGGCCAAGGCACCCGCATCTCAACCTCCAAAAGCTTCGTGAGCTATGGGAATGATCTCAGCAAAGGGGACCTGGTTTTTGGCAATGAGAAGATGGCCATGAGAAACCTCAATGACCGCCTAGCAAGCTACCTAGAAAAAGTGCGGTCCCTGGAGCAGACCAACTCCAAACTTGAGATACAGATCAAGCAGTGGTACGAAACAAACGCGCCCAGCACCAGTCGGGACTACAGTGCGTACTACAAACAAATCGAAGAGCTGAAATCTCAGGTGAGGGGGCGATGCCTGTGTTTTCTACTCCATTGTTTAGCTGCATGATATATCAACAGGGCATATACAGTAGGTGGGTCCAAATGGACTCTGTAAAGCAACTTAGGCCGAAATGCAACATCTATAAAAATGGTAATATTCTATCATCTACCCTTCATGCTGGAGTACCTGGCTACATAGGATGGCTGTAAATTATACTTTTTAAACTTTTAAAATCTAATTATATATGAAATATGAAAATGTTATCCTCCAATCTTATAATCTGTGTTTTTGTCACAGTTTACCAAGTCAAGGCTAAGTGAATAGTAAACCTTTTTCTTTTTTTTCTGAAAAAGCTAAATTTTTTTAAGTAATAATAAATTTTTCTTAGTTTTTCACCTAGTTCCCATCAACTTTTGAAACCCCCGTCAACTTAGTTTCCTTCTTTCATTTGTGTAAATGGTATGATACAAGCATTAGAATACTGTATCACAGATTTCAACGATAAAGTGATTGGGGTGGAAACGGGGGAAAGGGGTATTGGCCTTAATGATACCTGGGTTTTTAAATGTCCTACTTAATAATCTGGTCATCAACAGCAAGCAGTGCAGAAACCACTTCAACAGTAATAAAATGGTCTATTGCCCCCAATTCAGATTTATTGCAATTGTATCAGAATCATGTCATCCAGGAAAGGTGGAGTTCTCTGTTTTATCGATTGTATGGAATAAAAGAAGACTTTGCCCTAAGATTTCAGATATGACACAGAGCACTTTCATTGCTTTAATATTCTTATCTAATCAAGAAAAGTGTCTCTTTTCTTTCCTTTTCTATTTTAACATTCATTTTCCTTTAGAGCAATGGCCACTTACCAGGAGGTCTCTTTTTCTTGTGCTGTACGAGACATCAGTACGATTTCATTCAGATTCTACAGGAAGTTACTCTGGTATTTTAGGAACTACGTCGATGTGAGAGACGAAGGTGTTTAAAATGCCCTTTCTGCCAACAGGTCATTCTTCTCAGGCTCTCACTAAACACATTGAAAATCAGCCGACCCTTCTGCCTACTTGTCTCATGGTTCATGTTTCTGAATCTGCTTTGGATCATCCCGAATCCATAGGCACAGCTATTGCTTCCATTTAGCTGGATAGACCTGGCATTTGAAGGAAGGCAGTACTCTCTAGGATGGGATATGCTGAAAGAGACATGTCATTATAACATCTTCTAAGAGCAGACTCCTGATCCATGTGCACCTTAGAGAATTCACCCATTAGGTGACAGCTTCTTAAGAGCAGGGGCTTATGCATCCTGACAGGCCCAGTGCATAGCACAACTCCCACCACATAAGTGTCCATTCATCAGCCAATATTTAGTAGACACTAAGTGCTGGTTACCATGCTGGGCAACGGGAAATATCATGGTAAACATACTGTGATTTAGGGGGAAAGAGGCATGGACAAAGGCAACAATCATCCCACACAGAGGGACAAATGTTAGCAGGGAGAAGGAACTGTGTAGGGCAATGATGGCACCGGCAGTTCCCCCGTCCAGTTCTGTTTCGAGGAAATCGTGAAGCCTCGAAGCAAGGGACGTCTAAGCTGAGACGTGGAGGAGGTGGAAGGGGAGGACGGGTTCGCCGAGTGAGAGGAGCTAAGAGGAATGTTCTAAGTAGGAACAAAGGCGAGGCACTCGGTAAGGTTTGATGCCTCAAGCTGAATTTAAAATCTCCTTTGGTAAAACAACAAGAGAGCTGACCCAAGTCTGGAACAAGCATTGCATTTTACCAGCCTATTGTGTTAAGTACCCATATCATTATTCTTCCTCTCCATTTTCATGAGGAAATTACAGAAATGAACATCATCTTTGATATAATAGTAGTTGTATCTGAGGATAAATGTGATCATTTTAAACTCGTATCCAGTTGAAAACGTCATTCTTTCTCATTTGTTTTCCAGATTAAAGATGTTCAATGGCAAAATGTTCAATGGGTCCTGAAAATCGATAATGCTAAACTGGCCGCAGAGGACTTCAGGCTGAAGTAGGTTCTCACAAACCATGGCACTTAGCTTCCCATTGTTAGTAAAGGAGCTGCCACTAAATATTTTCAGGATCTTGGCATTTAAAGGGTGTTAGAAACTATCTGGTGTAGCCCAGCACTCAAAGCTGGACTTGCCTCTCCCACAGTCTTAAGATTTGGTCACCCAGCGTGTAACTGAGCACTTCCAATGCTCTAGTTGCTAGAACATTCTTTTTTAGTAACCTGGCATCTACCTTCTCAAATACTGAGCTTAATTCTGCCCTTTGGGATAACAACAAAGCAATTTAAAACTCTGCGTAAGTGCCCCTGTGCTATCTAAAGAGTCATTTGTCTACCATAGTGATTCTGCGAGTCATCCATGTTCCTCCCACTGCCTGCAAGTGTATGGCCAAAGTCCCCGGGGTGATGTGACTCTTGATGCTTTCTAGTTTTCCAGTGTTTTACAATACAGTCTGACCATCCAAAGAGCTAGGACTATGATTAAATCAGCTCAAACTGTGCTCACTCTCTTGTAGTCATATCACACTACATGTGAGCAGAGCTGCTCCTCAGAAACTGCTTCTCCACTAGGGCTTCCTCGTACACAATGCATCTGCACTAAAGGGTCCTTTATGTTGTAAAACAGTGGCATCTTAACGCTGCAAGGAATCAAAAAGAAAAAAAAGAGAAAGCCTATCTGAAGATTAAAGCAGTAAAAGTTCATTAATTCCTGTCAACATCTAAGTGTCCTATTGTATTATCATTTTTTGAACTTTACTACTTTAATAAAAATGGGAGTATATAAAATTGTAGAAGAGAATGCATGAATTTTTAAGATAACTTACTTTGGATACACTTGTTTACAAAGTAATAAAAATAAAATGGTCGTGTATATTCATTAAGTAAATTTAACTCACCATTTTTTAATATCAATAATGAGAACCCTTTGCTAACACAGTTATTAAAGCACATTTTTTAGAATTTCTTTTTAAATATATCCTCGAATTTAGAAAATTTTTATAGTAATTTCAGATTGGTGGGTTCGTTTGTCTTTTTAACCAAATCACAGAGATTATATTATGGGGCAAATGACCTGATTCCTAGATTCCCAGGAACATTTTTGAAATGTACAAAGAGGGACATACTAATATATTGAAACTGATATCCTCATCTACCACACATACACCTAGCTCCTTATCTTTTCCAGGATGGCCTCAGAAGGACTCAATTATCTCTGCTTATTAATTAATTCACAGGTATGAGACTGAAAGAGGGCTGCGCCTCACCGTGGAGGCGGATCTCCAAGGCCTGAATAAGGTCTTTGATGATCTAACCCTAAACAAAACAGACTTGGAGGTTCAAATTGAAGAACTGAACAAAGACCTGGTTCTCCTCAGAAAAGAACATCAGGAGGTAAGAAAATATTCAGAAGTGGTACTGGGAATGGTGGAATGGCTGGCTATAATAATAATAAGGAAGGAGACCTGGTGGCGGTGACAGTAAGGAAATGACAGCAAGGTGATGTTAGCCCTAACTTCTTTTCATTAGGGCTTCTGTCAAGGTTAAATAACTTAAAGCAATACCTGGACCATAAAAAGCCCTGCCTAAGTGATTATGTTCTTCCTTCCTTGACTCACCCCCAGTGAAAGAACCCATAAAACAATAATTATTAAGTCTTTTCTGCCCAGCTTCTTCCAAGAACACACTTCAGGCTATAATGAACCAGGATTTTCGTTCTCGTAGGAAGTGGACAGCCTACGCAAACAGCTGGGCAATAATGTCAGTGTGGAGCTGATGGCTGCTCCAGCCCTGAACCTCAGTGCCATCATGGATGAAATGAGGCAGAAATATGAAGTCTTGGCCCAAGAGAACCTTAAGAAGGTCAAAGAAGAGTTTGAGATACAGGTAATAGCATAATTCTAAACGGTAAGCAAATGTGTAGAAGTTGTCCCCCAAAAAGAGGTAACTCTTTTCCTTTCTTTCTTCCTTCCTTCCTCCCTCCCTTCCTTTCTTTTTTCCCTTATTTTTTCTTTTTTGGAATTTCAGACTTTAACTCTGCAAGAACAAGTCACAGTGAACACTGCAGAGTTAAAAGAATCGGAGATTCAAGTAAAGGAGCTGAGACGCACCTACCAGAACTTGGAGATAGACCTCAAGTCCCATCTCAATATGGTAAAGTACATCTAACTTCCAACTCTCAATGCTGTGCGTGTTTACTAAGTGCCTGTGTTAGGAACTTTAGAAATGTAAAGCCCTCTAAGAAATAACCCCTCCCCTTGCTGAACTGGCAGGGAAACAGGCCAAACAATAGATTATAATGAAAGAACAGAAAAAAGTCAAGGGAAAGGGCCATGTACTGCAAGGATACAGAGGAAGGCGTGGATCTGGAATACTTCACAGGGAAAGTGGCATTTAAACTAGATCTGAAAACTTAAGGTGAATTTTTAAGCTAGAGAGTAGGAGTAAAGACATCCTAGACAAAGCAAATCAGTCAGCACATGATAAGTTATGCTGTGGTAAGAACCTCAAAATCCCAGTGGCTCGCACCACTGCATCCATCATGGTTTGGCTGCCGCTCTAGCTGGGGCACACCACTGTTGCGCACAAAGAAAAGAGCAATAGTCGGACCATGTGATCACTCTCAAAGCTTCTCAGAAAAGGCGTTTGTCCATTTTGCTTGCATCTCATTAGCCAAAGAAAGTCATAATACCAAGTCTGGTGTCAACAGGGTGAGGAAGTCTAATCCTCCGCATGGAGGGGCACCATAAATCGCAGGGAGGGGAAGCGGGTATTGAGAGCAATCATACAATATATAGTAAGAAAACAGTGAGTGCAAAGCTAAACACAAACAAAAGCGCCCAAGAGCTAGTGATCCTAGCTGGCCCACTGGGGGTTGCCTAGATGAAGAGTGGGAGATAAAGCTAGAAATATGCATGATGCCCATGATAACTAGCTACAGAAATTCCTCTCAAAAGATATTAAAATTGAGCCACCTCTTAAATTAACTCCTCGAGTAAGAAACGTCCACTTTTTCTTGTGCCCATAGAAAGAATCCTTGGAGCAGACACTGCAAGATACCAAAGCTCGTTATCACAGCCAGCTGGCCGCCATCCAGGCACTGCTCAACTCCATTGAGGCCCAACTGATGCAGGTTCGGACTGATGCAGAACTCCAGAACAAAGAATACAATGACCTCCTTGACATAAAGATCCGGCTTGAGCAGGAAATTGCTACTTACCGTCGCCTTCTGGAAGGAGAAGATATTCTGTAAGGCTCTTAGAATCAAGGGATATGTGTCAATGTCTACATACTGTGCTATTTCAATGTCCACACATTAAACCTTGTCACTCATTTCCCAGCATCAATACAATCCCTAGCACAAAATCAATTACACACATACACCAACACCAACACCAAAACAAAAATACACCCTAAAGTACATACACCCCAAAAATACCAAATACAGGCTTTGTACTTGAGGTTGTGTTGTAGAACAGTTAGAAGATGGTTATACAGATGATAAAGATTATGCTAATGTTAATTTTTATAATTAATACATAATTGAAAGCAAAATTACTTTCTGAAATTCTCATCAAGAGGTCATGAATTACACAACAGGCCACAGAAGTCTGTGGGAACCAGTTAAAGAATCATGGGTGTTGCAGCAGCAACTGTCTTCAAATCCCACACCCAAGAAAGTCACAAGAGAACACAGATTTCAACTTCCATTGTAGTTTTACTATTTTAATTAGAAAAATGTCTAGCATATGTTAAATGGCTCAGTTTTGAAGCTCTGTATTTTCCAAGTTAAAAAGTAAAACACTCAAGTTAGAAGAAACAAGCATAGTAAAAGAGGGGGAAATGCAAACACAAGATTAAAACATACACCACTCGGACTCTACATTGAAACAATAAGGCAGGATGGTGCTTCATTTTCAAAATATCAATAACACTTTTTTTTTCTGTTTCTTTTTCTTTAAAAACAAAACAAAACACAGAACCACAGAACATCAGTTAAGCATCGTGGGGGAGAAAGCAGGTAAGTGTTCTAATTTTCAACCATTTCCTATAAGACTGAATTCTCACTCAATAGCTGACCACTTATTATCCGCCACTGGTGAGAAGTAAAGGGAAATCATTTCTCAAGTGAGCAGATATTACCCTAGGGATTCTGAAAACCAAGCACATCACATGAAGAAAACCTCCCTGTGGGAAATTTGTCACACTGCCTATGACGGGGTGATTTTCTTGGCCCTGTGCTATTGCTGTCCTGAGACACCCTGAGATCTTGAAAATGAAAAATAAGATGAAAATGTGCATTTTGCTTAATTCAATATTGTGCATTTCTCTTTGGGGGTGGGGAGAGTAGAAAATTTATAAATTGGGGGAGAGTGGCACATTCTCTGCATTTATTTTTAAAGTGGACTTAAGATATTTAAGAAAGAGATCTTTTTTCTAAAAGAAGGAAATACACACCAAATAATAATTAAAAGATGAATATTATCAACCAGCAGAGTTGTGTGTCTGAATTAACATTTTATATTTAAATCTAAATTTAGATGTAAAGAAGACCAGGAAGATTAAGACCGTCGTGCAAGAGGTCGTGGATGGCAAGGTTGTGTCATCTGAAGTCAAAGAAATGGAAGAAAGTATATAAACACCCACCAGAAGGAGATGCTGCTGAGGTCTTGGAAGAAGTGTCACTATAACTTTTGCTCCCTACAAGAAAGTGGCCACCGGAAAGCACTGTTAGTGCTTCCTAGTGATGGGGTGGGAGGGGTAGCCCATTTATCTATCAGTCTCTGTAATTGAACATAAGTGTTTTACTCAAAGGAGCTGCAAATTGCCAGCAAAAGTGAAATCCAATGAGCATTAGGATATTTAAAGCATCATTACTGCCATCTTTACCATGAAACATATTAATTACGAGCTACAGACCACCTTCTATCAATTCATTAATGTTCCTGAAAATTGTAACACATTTCAATTATACTAAACCTCATGGAACAGAGGTTCCATGCAAATAAACCTCTTTCTCCCTCACGGTTCCTGTTCATGAACTGCAAACATCTCCTTTCCAGGGCCCCTGGATTCTTGATTGACGTAATTTCTTGATTGATTTCATAGCATTTTCAGGATCGGTACCATTCTGCTGGCTGTGAATTATATCTGCTTTCCCCATTGTCTCCACTGCCTTTTAATACTCAGCTCAGCTCTTTGAATAATTTGAGAGTCACATTCCAATCATAAGTGATGAGCAGAATAAGAATGAAGCATATTATGCTTGAAGTGGGAGTAGATTAAAAGCAAAATTAAAAAGTGAAACTCTTTTCAAGGCAGGATGCTTCTCCTAATGATATTAAACTGCATAAATCATTGGGTTCTCTCTTCCTTTGTGTGGTGAATATATGCAATGCTGTTTCTCACTATTTTTTGTAATAGCTTTAATGAGTTATAACTCACCACAAAGTTCATCCTTGTAAAGTGTACAATTCAGTGGTCTTTAGCGTGCTCACAGGATTGTGCAACCATCACCACTATAAAATTTTAGAGTGTTTTATCATCCCAAAAAGAAACCCCATTAGAGTCACTCCCACTCCCCACCCTCCTAGCCCCTGACACTAACCTACTTCCTCTCTCTATGGACTTGCCTAATCTGGACATTTCATATAAATGAGATCATGCAATGTGTTCTTTTGTAGACAATGTTTAGAGCAGCATTATTCATAACAGCCAAGAAATGGAAACGACTCAAATGTACATCAACTGATGAACAGATAAACAAAATGTGGTATATTCATACAACAGAATATTAGTACTAACAGCGAATGAAGTGCTGATACATGCTACAATGTGGATGAACCTTGAAAGCATTACGCTAAGTGAAAGCGGCCAGATACACAAACTTGCTCATTGTATTCTCAGCCTGTTTGCATTATTTTAGCGAGCAGTAACTGCCTTGCAAACGTTTACAGAAAAAATTAATTTTCCCTCTATTATTGTATTCTAGTAAGTGAATAGTTTGGATTTAAATTTCAATATATGTTTGTACAGAAATAGGATTCTAAGTGTGATTACTAAATTAAAAATAGTGTGATTTGCTTAAGAATAATATCCACCACTTATTGAACACTTGCTGTGAACTAAACAGAGTGCCAGGTATTTTACAGCCATTTCTCATTTACTCTTCATAATAACACTATGAGGTAGAAGCTACAAGGTTGATGCACATGAACCTGACAAATATGTGATCATTTTTGACCTTCAAAAATAGCAATTTTGTATGGCTTTACCTTATCATGTCACCTCCATTTTACACATGAGGACAAATGAGGGTTATATATGAAGACATGAAGTCAACACTTTCCCAAATTAACAATTAACAAGTAATGGAGCAAGACTGAACCTCAGGGCTGTATGTCTAAAATTATCCTGGGCTCTGGGAATTACTTCTACGTAGAGCCTTGAGACATCTAAAAGCAAGAATGACATGGAATCATATAAAATCAAACCGTGACCAGTGGACACCCTCTGCCCTCACCCTTACTCACTTGGGGGTAATCTCAGGTACCTGATTACACCCTCCAATAACATTTCCGACTTAGAGCACTAGTTAGTGATTTCCACTTTTTAATTTCCCTTCGAACATCTGTTTTCTCTCTCCTACACTCACTTGTCAGATTCCCCTTAGCAGTGTGTTATTTTATCTTCCTCTCTCTAACCACATACGAACTCCAAAGTCCAAGAACTTGTCTTCAAGAGTGGCCCCTGGGGTCCTTGTTCATCTCAAAAAAAATGCAAAACATCAGTAACCCAATATTCATTCACTCACTCACAGGGTCTTAAAATTTTATTCAAAGCAAAAGTGAAAGGTGGTATGGACCAAATGGTCACTGAATTGCAGAAAATGGAAAATGGAAAGTCTATCTGTCTTTAACTCAGGTGCAAAATTCTGCAATCAAAGACCAGAAAGGTGGCCAATCTGACATGAGGAGATGAGCACGCGTTTTACTTAATAAAAATCTAAAGATTTACAAATACCACATAAATAACTATCCCCATTTTGAGTACTCCCGAAACTCTAATGAAGACATAATCTTTTTGAACAGTCCACCCTCATTCTAGTCAATTCCCTCTCTGCCTCACCTTGTGTAATCACTTTGCCAATAGGACCAAGACTGTCTCTGTTTTATACATTTCCACCTTCCTACATTTTTACAGCTGTCAAAGAAATTCTTTCCACTTCTAAAAACTCTAGAATCGAGGCTTGATCATTTAACTGAGCCCTCCCTCCCCCACCACACATACACAAAAAAAAATAACCACTGAAGAAGAAATATTTCTCTTTCCAACCTCTGAGGTTGCTCCCCATTTATAATTGAATTCAGAATAAATCTTGGTCAAAGCATACCAGTAAATTAGAGCAGAGTTGTTTTCAAACGAATCAATTTTAAATGACACATTCAAGCATATTAAGGATTAAGTTCTTTCAAGTGAAATAACTCCAGGTGTGTGTGAATGAAGTTTAGCCAAACACTAGGCTATGACTCAGGATAAAAAATGAATTAGACATAGTCCCTACCTGAGAAACTTATAGACTAGGATAATATATAATATGTATAGAAACATAAAGGTATAACGTGTAAACACAATGTATAGATATTGAGCAAACTTATTTAAATTTACATATACGCATTAGAGTTGGGAAGTATACATTTCAACGCAAAATTGGTTCCAAGCTCAAAAACTGAGGTTAATCCAATTCCCACACGGCGTGATGGTATCGCTAGGCTACAATCTGAAGTTGGCACATTCCCTCTGGCTCTGTCAGCACTGATACAATTAGAGCACACGAGAAGCAACTGTGTTTTGAGAAACTAGCAATGCTAGTGAACAGACAGGCTCCTAATTTCATGGGGATTACTGAGAAGGTCATTTCTTATGTAAAGGAAGATCGGCTGAAAATTAATATTCTACCCAAAAACAGCATTTTCAATGTTTAAGACATCTGCTTTCCGAATCAGAAAAAAAAGAAACTATGCAACATGCTAATGACGACGTTTTAAAATCCTTGAGCGTTCAAATTCCAGTATCTATCTGGAAAATGCATTTATTCCCCCTTCCACCGAGTACACTGCACAACTGCTTCTAAAGTGATAGTCCCCTGGAAGGTGGACTAGATCATGACTGGATGGTTTACACCGAGTTTTCTAAAGGAAACTGAAAATATGAGTGAGGAACTTTAAAAGGCTGAAGGTTGAGAAAGAATTAGTCATTCATTTACCCATTCAAAAATCACTTGTTGCTTTCCTACTGTGCATAAGGCACTGGACAATGCTGAGGACACAGGCAATAGAATAATCGGGGGGAGAAAAATTGCTTCTGACACCCTCTCTCTACTCCACCCAGGTTTCCTGTTTTGTATATCAAATACGTAATGGGCACAATTATTCAATTATTTCTATACCAGTGAATTTTCTGTGTTAATCATTTAGGTGTTGAGATGGTCAAGAAAAAGGGGAGCACTATCTTGTTGAATGGAGAGAGTGAACTTTTCAACTGCAACACCCATTTCATGGTCTATAAAAGGGTAACTCTCTGCCTCGCTGACACAGCTTCCTCTCGGGTTCTGCCCATCTTCCCCAGGCTGTGGATCTCTCCAGCGCCCCATGTCTCTCTCCATGCAGAACTCTGGGCTGTCCAGGCGGCTGTCTGACCAGAGCGGGACACTGGGCAAAGCCAGGGGCATGTCTGCTTCCAGTGTTGGAAGTGGCTATGGGGGAGGTGCCCTTGGCTTTGGAGGCAGCTACAGGGGAGGTTTTTCTGCTGCTTCCATGTTTGGTTCTATTTCTGGCTTTGGGGGTGGCTCTGGAAGTTCCTTTGCAGGAGGGCTGGGCACTGCTTATGGGGGAGGCCTCGGGGGCAGCCTGGGGATGGGGATTGGATTTGGAGGAAGCCCAGGAGGTGGCTCTTTAAGTATTGTCTCTGGCAATGACGGAGCCCTTCCTTTTGGATCGGAAAAGGAAACCATGCAAAATCTTAATGATAGAATGGCTTCCTACCTGGATAAGGTTCGAGCTCTAGGAGAGGCTAATACTGAGCTAGAAAACAAAATTCAGGGATGGCACGAAACACGAGGATCTGAAGACCCTGGGTCACAGAATGATTACAGTAAATACTGTCCACTGATTGAAGACCTCAGGAAGAAGGTACGGATATGGTTTTTGGAGGGGCTTTGGGAATTACGTTTTATCTTTATTTTTTGCTATTACAGTGTTTTACCGTGATAATCACCATTTAAAACAGATATTTTTCAATTCAACTATATTTGGAGTGATTTCTCATATTAAGATATTTAGTTTCATTTTATCATTTACCATAAAGTGACTCTACTTCCACTATCTTTCTGTTGGAAATATATGTTCCTTAACTTTTAAATATTCTATCAAAATATATATTCTTTAAAAAATTAAACTGCCTTAAACTCCTAATAAAATATAATTTTAACATCACCCAAAAATGTCCTGTCAAAAGCATACTTGTATAATACTGATATCTTAGGGCCTTATTTTGTGCATCTTCCCGATTTTGCCAGATCATTTCTGCCAGCGTTGGAAATGCTCAGTTCATCTTGCAGATCGACAATGCAAGCCTGGTTGCCAACGACTTTAGAATGAAGTGAGTTGAAGAAAAGATAGATTAATGAAAACTAGCATGCCCCACCATTTCTTCTTTTTCCCTATTTTCCTGCTTTCACTGATGGCAAGTATTTCAAACCTTCTGCAGCTCACCTGCTCCACACATTTCGTGTTTTGGTAAATTTACATAGGATATTCTAGAAAGTAACTAGATTCAAACACAACCCACACATTACATGTCCTTAAGTGTAAGTTGCTTAAACTCAGGGCTATGGGTTAATTTCATGTCACATCATGAGTAATTTGCTACTGACTCGTGATGTGACACTATAATTCCACCAATGTCCTAAACCTCAACTTTCCATGTATCAAAATGAATTAATAATGTTTTCTGCCTGGGAGTTAAATGAAATCATCTTTTTCCTGATGATACAAACACCTAAGATATTAACCATGCACTTTATTTTTATATTCTTTCCTCCTTTCCCAGACTCCACCCTTGGGACATCAAGAAGAAATACTAATGTCCTTTTTGCTCCACAAAATTTCCACACAGGATGTGGCAGTGGTGATGGCCCCGAACCTGTAAAATCTTGGTAAAAGCTACTAAAGAAGCATCCGTGTTTTAAATTAAATCAGGAGTAAAAGTTAAGCCAAAAAAAGGACTAATTATTTTATTTTCAACTGCTTTTAGGATTCTGTCTGAAACCCCTGGAGAGGGGCTGCTGCTCACAGCCAGGGCAGTCGGCCAAAGGGGAAACTGCTCCCCCGGAGGCAGTGCTGTTGGGGGTTCACTGCTGCGAGAAAAGTGTCACCTCATAATTTTTTCAATTCTCTCCAACCGAGCAGTAAACTATCATTAAAAAGGGAAGGAAAAAGTTATAAAAGCAAAGGCAGCATTGTACATTGCAATGTTACCATTTTAAAATAGTCACACAGATTCATGCACAAAATAGCCCTGCGGACGGCAGGTGCCTTATTCAAATGAGTGTGTTGATTCCCGGGACTGTTTTGCACTTGGTTTTTCAGGCATGAGAACGAGCTGGCCCTGCGCATGAGCGTGGAGGCCGACGCCAACGGCCTGCGCCGGGTGCTGGACGAGCTGACCCTGGCCGGAGCCGACCCGGAGATGCAGACCGAGAGCCTAGCGGAAGAGCTGGCCTACATGAAGAAGAACCACGAGGAGGTGGGCCAGAAAGGGCAGCTTTGGTTTCAAAGTTACAAATGTGTTGGAGTTAGAACAGATGTGGAGGATACGTTATTTCCCTGTTAAAATGGCCATGTGTCTTGAATATCTTGTAGGGTGTGTGTG